ATCTTCATCTTCCTTTTGCAGATGGAGACATCAGACTGTTAGAGGTGAGCGAGGTTCCCCAGGGCACACATCATTCAGGACCAAGCAGGGTGCGGAAGGCAGAGGTGATTGTCAATCTCAGAGACTGTTCTCCAGGAATCCCCAGTGCAGGGTGCAGTGGGCTCCTGTAGGGCCAGACAGGTGCCACGTGAGCAGAGAGCTGCGGTGGCCCCCAGGGTACACGCTGTCTAGGAGGGGACAGTGGTGCCAGGGTCTGAGGGATGGTTGGGGTTTCCCAGGTGCAGGAGATGGAGAAGCTGTGTTCACCAAAGCCCTGGGGGAAAAGTACAAGTTACGAGAGGTCGGGACAAACGTTTTTCACCAACGCTGGCACTTCCTCGCATGGCGCTGCGTGGTCTGGCACTGTCTTTCCTCTCAGGAACTGCAAGGAATAGGATGTCTTTCAATGGCACTGGCTGCTCTGTCCTCTGTAGTCAGTCACTGCTACAAATTCAATCCAGGCACATGCAAAACACAAGCCACGAGTGTTAGCTTCAGAGGATGGGGCGACAGGGACCAGCCAGTTCATACTAGCAAGGGGACAATTTGCAAACCTGTTTTCACTTACTCTCATAGAAACTACACCCATTTTTCCTTTGGGACACACCTTGCCTCTCTGAATCTTGGTTCTTTCATTTTTCCATCTTTCTAATTTACCCCAGAAATTCATTTTTCCTATTGAAATTAAGCAGAATCCTCATGGACAGGCCACCCTGTGAGGCCCAGAGAGGCTCAGCTACTATGTTAGTTCTCTACTGCTGCTGTAACAGCTTACCAAAAACTTAGTAGTTGAAAACAAAACGAATGTATTACCTGGTAGTTCTGGAGGTCAGAAGTCTGAAACCAGTGTTGCTACGTTGCATCTTTCAGATTCTAGGGAAGAGGTTTCCTTGCTTTTCTGGCTTACACAGACCACCTGTGTTCCTTGGTTCATAGCCCCTTCCTCCATCTTCAGAAGCTGCAGTGTAACATCTTCAAATCTCTTTCAGTCTGACCCCCTGTTTTTATTTTTGATTGATTGTTAAGGTCTTGCCCTATGGCCAGGCTGGATTGCAGTGGGGTGATCATGGCTCACTGCAGCCTCAAACTCCCAGGCTCAAGCAATGCTCTCAGCGCAGCCTCCCAAGTAAGTAGCCGGGACTACAGGTGAGCTCCACCACACCTGGCTAATTTTTTTTTGTACTCTTTGTAGAGATGGGGTCTCCCTATGTTGCCCAGGCTGGTCGTGAACTCCTGGCCTCAAGCAGTCCTCCCACCTTGGCCTCCTAAAGCGCTGGGATTACAGATGTGTACCCCTGCACCTGGTCCCTCCTGCTTTCTTATAAGGACCCTTTTGATGACACTGAGCCCACAGGATCATCCAGGATTCTCTTCCCAGCTCAAGGTCCTTAACTAAGTCATGCCTGCAGAGTCCCCACTGCCATGGAAAGTAACAGTCACAGGTTTCAGGGATCAGATGTGGCCACCTTTGGGAGCTGTGATTCTGTCTACCACACTTACTTGCCCAATTGAGGCCCCGTGGCTCGTAACTGGCAGAGCCAGGAATGCAACACCAGACTGTGGAGTTTGTTGTGACTACACCGCCACTGCCGTAGCCACATCCCCGTGAAAATGGCCACTTATGGCCACTTAGCAAAACGCCAGCGCTCCTCTGCCCACACAGCTGGAGGAGGTAAAGGATCGTGCGGCGGACAGCAGCGTCATCCAGCCCTGCCGATGACTCACTGAGGAAGTGGGCCATGCATTTAAGCTCTGTCTTAGTTGCTTGCTTCAAAGAGGATTAAAACCTTTGTTCCAGCGGTGTTTGGGGATTTAGCGTTGATAGAAAATACCGTGTTATTTTGCAGGGGAAACAGCCCTAAAGAAGGAAGGTAATCATATAATTATTTTGATTTAATCACTCTTGACTGTAACCCCACGTCTGTCCTACTTTTCAGCAAGCACTCGCTGGCTGCTTCCAGTAGGTTTGCCATGGTGCTGGGCTTACCGAACCAGCCTGCAGTGAAGACAAACAACATCTCTAGCTTACAGATAAAGAAACTGAGGCATGGAGAGGGAGGCGAACATTGGTAATCATTTGCCCAGAGTCAACAGCTAATAAATGTAAAAAGCAGGATTTGAACAGCAAGTTCAGGGCCGCCGGCTCCCACCTGGCCCTTTGTTGTGACTTGCTCTGCAGCTCCAGGACGTTCAGACCCACACTGGGATCTGAATGTAAAAAGGCAGAGACTGAAACACGAACATTCCAGTTCACTCCGAAAAAGGAGAAGAGCCTTGCCGCTTTTGCAACCCCTTCTGAAATTGCTTGCCTGGATTCCCGTCGTCAGGGCCCAGCTGAACACCCACCCCTTCTGGGAAGCCCCCACACCCACCTCAGCCCTTCCCTCATTCAAGACATGACACGAAGAAGGGCCTTGTCAATTCCTTTCAATTCCTACTGCTCCTCTCCCTCTGCTAACCTCTTATCATTGCCAAGACCCTTTCCTTACACTCAAGTATTGCTAGGTTTCCATGGGCATGAACGGTGGAGTCATCTGTCGACTTTTAGAATCCTTACAGTTTAGAGGCCAGGTGCGTGGCTCACGCCTGTAATCCCAGAACTTTGGGAGGTCAAGGTGGGTGGATCATTTGAGGTCAGGAGTTCGAGACCAGCCTGGCCAATGTAGCAAAACCCCATCTCTTCTAAAAATACAAAAATTAGGCAGGCATGGTGGCAAACGCTTGCAATTCCAGCTGCTTAGGAGGCTGAGGCACGAGAATCACTTGAACTCAGGAGGCAGAAGCTGCAGTGAACTGAAATAGTGCCACTGCACTCCAGCCTGGGTGACAGAGCAAGACTCCATCTGAAGAAAAAAAAAGAATCTTTAAAGTTTGAAACTATCTTTGAATAAGAATATACATACATATTTTTTTGCTCTGTGCAGATAAGGGGTTGGGAAAGAGAGGGAAGATCTCTGAGGCTGTAAGGAAGCTGTGTGTATCGCTGAAGCTGGGACAGGGCTACTGTCTGCATTACACGAGCACAAAGACCTCTAAATTCCTACAGATGTGGAAAACCAATTTCCAGGCTCTCATGTTCTGTCTAGTACATATGGAACCTTCTTGATGCATAAGAATGGCCTCCCCTTTTCCTGGAGAGCAACCCCAGCCCCTGGCTGGATGTGTACACCCTGGCTCGTAGGTCTGTCTCTGGCCAGCTCTGAACCTTGCATTCTGTACTCCGTGAGAGTGACTGTCAGTGGAACCTACTTGTACCGCCTCCAAGGTGACACTTGGAAGACTGGAATAGAATACAGCATGGCCTCTCAAAACCATAGTGTCCAGCTTTCCTGGATCGCAAAATCAGTTGGGCAGTTCCATCTGCCAGCCCTTCCCCTCTGCCTGTCAGCCATGGTGCAGATGTCATCCAGAGCACTAGTATTGGAGGCCAGGCACAGTGGCTCATCCCTGTAATCCACTTTGGGAGGCCAAGGCAGGAGGATTGCTTGAGGCCAGGAGTTTAAGACCAGCCGGGGCAACAAAGTGAGACCCCATGTCTATGAAAATAATTTTTTTTGGCGGGGCATCGTGACTCAAGGCCTGCAATCCCAGCACTTTGAGACGCGGAGGTGGGTGGATCACTGCAAGTCAAGAGTTCAAGACCAGCCTGGCCAACATGGTAAAACCCCATCGCTACTAAAAAATGCGAAATCAGCTGGGCGTGGTGGTGCATGCCTGTAAGCCCAGTTACTCAGGAGGCTGAGGCAGGAGAATCGCTTGAACCTGGAAGGCGGAGGTTGCAGTGAGCCAAGATCATACCACTGCACTCCAGCCTGGGCAACAGAACGGGACTCAGTCTTAAAAAAATATGTAATATGTGTATATATGTATATATATATATATATTTTTTTTAATTAGCTAGGCATGGTGGCATATATGTGTAGTCCAGCTACTCAGGAATTCTGAGGCGTGAGATCACTTGAACCCAGGAGTTTGAGGCTGCAGTGAGCTATGATCGTACCACTTGCCCTCCAGCCTGGGGAACAGAGTGACAGAGACACTCAAAAAAAAAATGCCAGACGCCAGTATATGCTAAACAGCCCAAGATGCCGGCATCCAGAGAGTGTGTATATTCCTCGTGTGGATACTAGAGCTGGGGCCACCTGGTACAGGGACGTCAGGCTCTGTGCCAAACCTCATTCATAGCGACTACAGGCCGTGGAGCTGGGTATGCCCTTGCTGTAGAGGACCTGAGACACCCGCCAGGCTCTCTTGGAGACACAATTATATCAATAAAAGGAGAGAAGTTTGAGCTGTATTTATTTTAGGGTGGCTTTTAATTTGTTTTAATCAGAATTACTCATAAATTATCGATTAATTACCTTCTACTGTTCAGTTAAATCCTCTCAGCCACAGAGGCAGCTTCGCTGTGCAATGAATGCCATCCACCGTAATTATAGGGCACTTTGTCAGCATTTAATCAGTGGTACTTATTAATGTGGCATTGATGTGTGTTAGCCCGCCCCACGCTATCTATCATGGGTGAGCAGCCAGCACAGATTCGGACACCATTGCTCTCTGTCCCATTAGCCAGCCCCTGGGCTTTCGAGCCAAGCATCATGCTCACTTTTCACTAAATAGACACTCTGTCTCGTCCATTCAATTCCATTTTTATCATTGTCGACTTAAACACTCATAAGCTTTTGAACTTCAGTCCAGAACGGCTGAGCAGGGCCTGACCAGTTCTCCCAGTGAGTGTGAAATCCCAAGAGATTGGTCCGTGATCAGACTTCATGGCATGGCGTGCATGTGTAAGAGAATTTTATATTCACAGCCTATGACCTAGAGAACACAGAAGTGATCTTTTGGTTTTCTTTGGCTTACTATTTCTGGAGATTCCTCTATTCCTGAAAGCTCTTCCAATGAAAGCTATGTTGTGTTGGCAAAATAGATCTGATGGTGTCCTTTCTCTGTCTTTGCAGCCTCTATGGCAGACACATGCAGGCCAACCCAGAACCACCAAAGAAGAATAATGACAAATCGAAGAAGATCAGCCGGAAACCCCTGGCAGCCAAGAACAGATAAGGAAGGGGTTGGCATCGGCTGGCCTTCCAGCACCTTCTCTCTCCAACACTTTGTTCTCTCTTGCTCTGTCTCTCAAATAAACACAATGCGTGTGTGGCCTTTTTAATTTTTCTTTTCACTCTCTAATGCTTCCCACCTTACCTTTTAGATTCTTTTGGTAGGTGGGAGATTGTTGTAAGGTCTTTAAACCATTTCCATTTGTTTCTTTAAAATTACGAAAAGCAGGGAACAAAGCTCTTATTCAACTGCAAATTCCATAGTGGGCTCAGGCTTTTGTTGAATAGACATCACAAGGTTGCTTATTATCAAAAGAATAATTAAAATCATGTAACCATTTAAATGTCACTGTTAACACTTTTCACTCTTTCTGTTGATTCACACAACTCATTATTTTGCTTTATTAAAAATCTTCTTCACCACCGAGATATGTTAATTTAACTTACAAGTGATTTTAATAAAATCTTGAGTTTGTATCACATGTTACTTGTTGACCCAGAATAAAAACAGTCTGATCTTGGGGTATAACACATTTTCATTTACTTTTCTCCCCCAAAATCATCTTGTCCAATTTTATTGGTTATACATGATAAACTTTTCATGAAAGAAATGCAAAATTAAATCACAGTTCGTTTCTTCTCACATTAATTTGTCAAGTTTTTTTTCTTTGAAGACTTTCTAAATTAGGAAGCAGAAAAACAAATCTCTAGGAGATTCTGCCAAAGGATTTTGGAAAGTAGCATTCCTTCGCCGAAGAAATGGTGATTTCTGCCAGGGGCTGGTAGACAAGAACTGTGAAAGGGAGAGAGAAAAAACCTCAACTATGTTTTTTGTCACGGCAGAAAATCTGCTCACATCAAAGCATTCTTCTAAGCGACTTCGATGCCAAGGAAGTTGTGTAAATGTGCACACGCTACACCACACCCAGGGTGGAAACCACAGTTGCAGAGTCATTGAACAATCAATTGTTTAACATCGGTGAGAGGCAGCTTTCCTTCTTCTCAACAGTGAAACCTGTGACAATGAAAATAAATGCACGCTCAGGTTTTGTGCTCACTAAAAGGGCTGCCAACCCCAGAAGGCCTCCAAAAAAAAGTGTGAAGATGCACCGTCTTTTCAAATGGCCTGGGAGAGGGGGCCTACCCGTCTCTGCTGTGTCCTTTCAACTACCCAGTTGAGCTCCCAAGACCAGGACGCACTGGGGCGTATAAAAATCCAAAATCAAAATCAAGCAACAAGTTCTGAGTTAATTAGGAAACAGACTTTGCATTTCAATCAGAGAGGCCAGAGAGCAAGGTCTAAACTTCTAGCTTCTAGACAACTTTCTGATAGAACATTTAACTGTGGGAAGAGGATTCCCCAGGTCCCATCTATCCCTGTTTAGGGATAGAGTTGATAACATTTTTATAGGTGGCATGTTTGCCTCTACCTGAATTTTTTGAATTGATTTTTGAGCTTTTGAGATTCCTGGAGGGAGGACAAGGCCTCTGCTGTTGTGGATAGGAAAGGCTTAACCTAAAATTAAACCAGCAACGAAGCATTAGTAAAAATCTAACAATATGAAGGGCTCTTATGAGTGATTTTTTTCAAAAGATGAAAACTCCAGAAATGCACAGGAATGAAATACCTCCCAGAAACATGAAGCAATCATCGAAGACTCACTGGTAATATTTTTTAAAAGTATACAAATCAAAGCAAAAATAAGCATGTGTAACAATGAGAAATGTGCAAATATTTTTTAACGCAGTACTAAGTGCAAGAGGAGTAACATGAAATAAACATTCTTTCACACAGCTACTGGGAATATAAATTTATCTCCAGAAAGGTCGTGGCAGTTTGACGATAGGTGGCAAAACCTGAAGATTGTGTACTTGGGCACAGAGTTTTTATTTCTCGGAATGTATCCTGAGGAAATTATTAAACTGCAGTGTTTAGAAATTGTCCGTATAGCATTGTATACACAAGAAAAACAGACAAAAGCCTGATGCCTGTCAGTGGAAAAGAGGTTCAATGAATGATGGTGTATCTGCATGAGGTTTCCATGACATTAAAAATTGTTGAACAATGGCCATGCACAATGGCTCATGCCTGTAATCCTAGCACTTTGGGAGGCCAAGGTGGGAAGATTGCCTGAGCTCGGGAGTTCTAGACCAGCGTGGGTAACACGGTGAAACCCTATCTCTACTAAAATACAAAAAATTAGCCGGGCGTGGCAGTGTGTGCCTGTAGTCCCAGCTACTCAGGAGGCTGAGGCAGGAGAGTTGATTGAACCCAGGAGGCAGAAGTTGCAGTGAGCTGAGATTGCACCACTGCACTCCAGCCTGGTCGAAAGAGCAAGATTCCATTTCCAAGAAAAAAAAATTGTTCGACAATAAGGGCAAAGGGAGAGAATCATAACATCTGATTAAATAGAAAAAGCAAGATTTTTAAAACGACCTATGTAAGGATGGTCCCAGCTGTGTCAAAAGGAAGCTGTGTTTGTAATATGTATGCATAGAAAATTAAATAGAGATGGAACACAATTTTAAGGCAGATAAATTATCTCCGTATTGCAAACTAAGACTTTCTAGAATTTTACACTTACTCATTCTGTAAATTTTTTCTAATGAACACATATACTTTTGTAATCAGAAAATATTAAATACATGTATTTTTCAAAATGAAATTGGTATGTCATGGTATGTTATGCAATCCAGGAAATATATAAGCTCAAGGCATAATATAAAATGTCAGGAGGGTTTTTTCTCTTTTTGTTGCCAAAATGGGTTTCAGGTCTCTTCCTACAGTTTTTAGTTACTTGATATCTGGATCAGCAAACAAAATATCCAAAGTTTGAAAGGTGGCCCCTTTTGTTTTTTTTTGTTTTTTTTGTTTTGTTTTGTTTTTTGTTTTTTGTTTTCAGATAGAGTCTCACTCTGTCACCCAGGTTGAAATGCAATAGCATGATCTCAGCCCACCGCAACCTCCGCCTCCTGGGTTCAAGCAATTCTCTCCTGTCTCAGCCTCCCGAGTAGCTGGGATTCAGGCACCCACCGCCACGCCCAATTAATTTTTGTATTTTTAGTAGACACGGGGTTTCACCATGTTGGCCAGGCTGGTCTCGAACTCCTGGCCTCAGGTGATCCATCTGCCCACCTCGGCCTCCCAAAGTGCTGAAATTACAGTCATGAGCCACTGCACCTGGCTGAAAGGTGGCCTTTTCACCAAGATAATCTAACCTTTTCGCACAATGATGAAATCAGCTCTCCCCATTGATGCCTTGCAATCCAGTCTTCCAAGTGCTAAGAGCCCACGTGGGAACCTGCACATATATTTTTATTCCTCATTTGAAACTTCTTCCCCAGGGTTTCTCCCCTTTATGAAAAACACTTGCCTTGCCCACGTGGCTAGGTATCTTAGAGATGTTATGCAAAATACTTTCATGCACATAATCACATATGGTTTGTGCTAGAGCCTTGTGGGATAGGCAAGGCAGGTTATTTGAGAATAAACTATAAAGGTTCTCAGATCTAGGAGAGAAGTGTTTCTCTTTATTTGCTGGAGGTGATACGTTTATTAGGAGTCTATTGATTTTTTTTTTTTTTTCAATTAAGGTAGGAGCAAGTAGAAAAAGTGGATGGGCCATTTGGCCACAAAACCATTTCTCTAAGCTTTGTACCACCCCACGTTGGGAAATAACTCCTGTGGGATAAAGCAGCAGGCCCCCAGTCACGTCAGGTTCGCCCTTTGGAATAGAAGCGACTTGTACACCACTCTGCAGAAGTGAATCTTCACTTTGATAAACTTGAAGAGAAATCCTGTGACTGCATAGAGAACTGACTTGCCCCAATCATTGTGTCCGTATTCACTGAAAACAGAAGTTGCCCCGTCCATGTTTTATCCTGTACTTTTACTTCCTTCTACAGACTCTGTACTCAACACGTCTGTTGCCTCGAATTGCAAAGTCAAGTCACTAATAGTTCAATTTCTAATAAAGCTTCATAGTCATAATATCCCATAAGTACCGTGTTAGAAAATCCTCTAGGCTCTACCTGTAAAACAACCCAAACTGAAGACTGCACCATCTTCCATACTGACCCCGGTCACCCTGCCCTCTTGCCTGCTCCACTCTGGTATCCTCTGGTGGGCCTCCTGCTTTTGCACTGAGATCTCCATGCAACAGAGCACATCTTTACATGCTGACATCACATCAGGACGCTCTTCTGCCCCCAGTCTTCCAGTGAAGTCCCCTTGTCTCTTTCACTCAGAGTGAAAGCCTAGGTTACCAGTATCTAGGTTACCCCCACTCCTCCAGGTTCTTCCCCTTAAGATTTTTGTGCAGTTGATTCTTTTCTAGAATGTTCTGCCAAATACGGACCTATAACTCCTTCGCCAACTTCAAATCCTAGTTAAAAAGTCACTTTCTCAACAGAGCCTCCCCTGATTACCCTGCTTTAAATTTGCAATTTATTTGGTCAGTCACCTGCTTCCCACCCCCAGTGCAGTGGAGGCTCCTCCAGGAAAAGGGTGAGCCAGCTACAGTTCAGAGGCACCCAGACTCCAAACCTGGTCTACACCTGTTTTTGTAAATAAAGTTGTGGGAACACAGCCATTCCGATTCATTTACCTAAGGTCTGTGGCTGCTTTTTTTTTTTTTTTTTTTTTTTTAATTTTGGAGATGGCGTCTCCCTTCCTTGCTCAGGTTGGAATGCAGTGACACAATCTCAGGTCACTGCAACCTCCACCTCCGGGGTTCAAGCAGGTGTCGTGCCTCAGCCTCCCAACTAGGTGGGATTACAGGTGTGCACCACCAGACCCGACTAATTTTTGTATTTTTAATAGAGACAGGGTTTTGCCATGTTAACCAGGCTTGTCTCAAACTCCTAGCCTCAAGTGATCCATCTGCCTCAGCCTCCCAAAGTGCCAGGATTACAGGCATGAGCCACCATGCCTAGCCAGTCTGTGGCTGTTTTTATGTGACGACAACAGAGCTGACTGACTGAGAGACCCTGTGGCTCACAAAGCAAACGGTTTCTACTATGTGGCCCTTTCCAGAGAAACTTCTGCGGATTTTTCTATCAGCTGTTACATCCCCAGCACCCGGAATGGTGCCCTGTATACAACAGGGGCTCAATAATGATTTAATTGAATAGACTACAAATTGGATCATTGTGATTTGGATGATACAAAGCTAATATTAAGGTAGAGGGAAGGGAAAAAATCCTAGACATTCCTTTTATACTTTGTCATTCAAGGCTACTTTATCAAAGCTAAATTCTCCTAAAGGAAAAAAACCTGTGAATATTATTACAGGCGAGAGTTTATGCAACCCTGTAAGAGTTCAAACCTTTACGTGAATGTTTGGTTTTCCTTATAATTACCCAATTGTTTCATACCTGACCATTTAGCCTTCCTCAAACAACCATCAATTTCTTCAGTAACAAAACCAGAAAGGGCTGGCACCCCAATTTACCTGTATGAACCCAGAAGAAGGGTTCGTGTCAAAGGTGAAATCCAAACTGCCCTTGTCAATGTGAGTCAATTCAGATGTTTAGAAGCAGCAGAACTGGCAAGTAAAGTGACAAGTCTCTGTTCTCTGGACGTTTCATGACCTGAAATCAGGCATTAATCATGTGTGTATCTCTCCATTTATAGTATCATGTGATCCTACCATATATGGTGTGTCCTTATTTTTATAATTGATCTTCCCATCAATAACAGCTTTGGGAGATTCCTGGTCTCTAACATCATGTTTCTGTTAAGACTGTATAAACATGTTCCTCTTTCTTACCGCATGCTTATTTTATACACAATAGAATGTGGTGATTTGCCACTGTTAAATTTCCCCCTTAATCTATTTTCTTCTACTAATAATAGCACTCATTGATTGAAGCCTGTTCATGTATCAGGAACTTTGTTTCCTTTCATTCTCACTCAATGGACATCCTCACTTTGTGGGAAATTTGACCTCCGAGCAATTAAGGAACTTCCTGCAAGAGCCCACAGCTGGCAAGTGGCAGAGGAAGGATGCAGAAGAACATGCATTTGACTCTAGAGCTAATGTCCTTTCCTCAATCCCACATCACACTCTGCTGTCAATCAAGACTCCCTTGGCCTATCCAAAGGCAGCAGTTTTCCTTCCCATGACCTCTTAAATTGGAGTTTCTGGTTTTGAGCTCCTAAAGCGTTCATTTTATTAACACATTTAAGTTACTGCACGATGACAGCTTTACCTCATTTCTATAAATGACAGACCTTTGGTTTCTGCTGTCTCTGTTCCCCATGCTTGGTCAGGCAACAGCATCTCTCTGATGGTTCAGTGATGGATCGAGCAAAGCAGATAAGCCTCACTTCTGAGAATAAGTTTGCCCTTTCCCCGTCTCATCCAGAAATTCACTTCCCACACTGTCCTATCAATGAACTATTTTACTCCAAAGGGGATTCCCTCATATGACCCACCCAAAGAGCAGCGCTTCCTGAAATAGGTAGAAAGTGGCTTTGGGTTTCATTTTGAAGCAGGTTTGGGTTGGCATGATCAGATC